CTAGTAGCGATGTTTGTTGAACCAGTATGCATGCACGCCCAGCTTTGCTCTTCCCTGGGTTGAAGTCGAACTACAGTGTCGGCTTGTACGTGTCGCTGCTGAGACACACAGCTGACTACTATTACGTCTGATAGGCGATCCTGCAGGGTAGCTACTTGCCGTGTCGAACCAGTAGTGGCCGTCGGTGAAGAGTACTAGGGACGAGAAGGCAATGAAATGAAACGTTCGGGCGTGTGGCCCTGTAATACTATCTATAGGTTATGATATTGTCCATGGAGATCTATCTATCCATCGTTTGCTTCGCTTTGCCCACCGGCAAGGGGATATGTACAGTTTGCGGTGGCAAGGAAGCTAGTGGCAATGGAAAGGAGGAAGGATGGAAGTGTGGAGGCGGGTTTGTATGTTCAGGAGGGTAAATCAATGCCGTTCCGTTGGGTGTATATAAGCAATAACGGAGTGGTGGCAATCAGGTCGTATGTTCAGTTTGAGCAAGGGTAGTATGATCATTTGGTCAGCGCGTGTATAGGTAGCAAGTGTTCATGGTCATCACCGGGGAAAGGAAAAACTGGTCGGCATGCATCTTGGGTTGGTTACATTGTTGTTGTTTGAGAGGTAGGGCTATCCATTCGTTCCACTACCACCAGCGTGCCTCGGTTGCCTTTGGTAATACGCAATGTGTCACTCAAATAGAGAAAGTCCAAGTGGCCACGAGGCGATCGTTTCATCTCAAAACCGACGGAATGATCGGCACTGCCGGCGGCTTGTTCGTCATTGGGCAGCACCATCTGGAACCACCATGCCAGCAAGGATTGCATGGTTTTGGATAGAAAGCCTCGTTCCGCCTCTGCCTTGCTGTATGCATTGGCAAAGGTTTCCGTCCAGACGGCGAGCAATGCGGGATCTTGACGGACCGCTTTGGCGGGTACCAGCGTACTGCCCTTGAATGTGACATTGAGTCGATGTGGGAATTTGGAACGCTGGGCAGGACTCTCGTAGCAAACTCCGCTGTGCATCATGACAGCCGGCAAGTCGACGCCATTGGGAGTATGAATAGTAAGATCGAGGCAAATGGGATAGTCAAACGTCTGAAACTTCGAACGGTTGTTATTGCCGGTGATCGAGTCTTTGACTCCCGAGCGGCTTTGGATGGATTGACGGACAGACCGTACTGTGCAGACAAGGTTGCGAGGTTGAAAGATGCCAAAGGAAAGACGACCCAGTGTGTACTGGACGACGCCGGGAGGAGAGTTCTTGATGCGGCCGGGGAATTCTGGAAGTGTGTGGCATAGAAACTCTCCTTCCAACAGAGAAGATCGTCCAATGCTCTCGTGCTGCGGCTTCCACATGGCTGCCAGGTCGTTGATGGCGGCCAACACTTGGGGATTCTTGGTGGAACCGTGATGCTTGGCGAGCAGGTCCTTCACAACTTCTTCTTGCCGCAGGCATTTCGCGGCATTGTCAGTGTCAAGAGACTCATCATCGGTGAACATAATCTGGGTGTGAGACTCTTCCAACGTTCCTGCTGTAGATGCTGTTGTTACCATTGTTGTTGTTGTTGTTGTTGTCATGGTGCAGTTGATACTGATGTTTAGTTGATGTTGATTCCGTTTTTATGAGCCTGCCCAAGTCTTCCGGTTTCCGTCGAGCCATCCAGTTTCGTACGTGTGCGTCTGTGTCGCTGGTCGTAAGCTGCGTGGGGCGGTACTGCAAAAAACATCAAGCTTGTTTCCATACCATTAATAAGCCCAACGGTTCGCAAACCCTCGAATGACGAAGTAGGCAATATTGGTTATTTAGTGGCTGTATGTCATGGCGACAGCGGAGCTTCTCGAAATGGGACACGTCATTGCATACGCACTGTAAACACCGAGAGGATAGTTCGACCTCAGAATTAAGAATTCGGTACTCGAAAGTGCACTGAGAACTCGAAAGTGGCAGCTTCCGGTGACCATCAAGGGGTAACAACGTACAGGCCTGTGCTATAGTAACTACACCCGCTCTCTGTATTCGAAGCGACCCAGGAAGGCCTATCTAGCAAGCTAAATGTACTACATTGTACGGTATCTGGCTAGCACATGTACTGTGGATAGCCTGAGTGGACATGATGCATCCTCCACCTACTAGGCAGCCTCGAGCTACCGGTAGCTAGCTAGCCTACCGTACGGTACTGCTGGAGCTCAAGGAAAGTGCAATGCATCCTGGTAGTAGTTCTTAGTGGATGAAGGAGGGAAGAGAGCAGCAGCCTCAGCCTTGGCATAGAGAGACATGGAAGCTAGACCAATGGGAATGGCTACTGGCACTCTAGCTAGAGCTAGAGAGTACGCATACAGCAGGTTGTTGGCATCATTCCATTGCAACAGCAACATTCACCATAATATATGCTTGTTCTCCAAGAGTGGGAAACAGTTGGGGGTCGTAAGATGGACAGGTCTTTGCGGAATGCATTAATTTTTGCGTTTTCAATCAGAGTTTTATCGGCCCCAGACCCCAGTCAACCAGTATTAATAGTCTAGCTAGTTTCATAATGATTATGAGGGCTTCTTTGAGCTGATGAAACCCTGAAGAAAGTTGCAACAGACACCAACATCTATGCTATCCACGCATCCACACTACTTACCGACTAGTTGCTTACACCGTCGGTGAATAGAAGCATCGTCTGCGTATTGTTATTGTACCATAGGCAATACCCGTAGACGAGGCTACAAGGCTACAGCCAGGGATGATAAGAGTGGCCAGAGTGTGGCCAGCCACTAGTAGTACCACAATCTTGTAGCCGACTGAGCAGTCGAGCTGCAGGTATCGTACTACATGTACCCATGTACCCATGTACCGGTACTAGCTAATAATAGTACATGTAGCCAGCTACATACGCTAGCTAAGAGTACTTTTAGAGTGTAGTTGTCAGGCAATGTTTCGATTCGATTCTCTGTGATTCGATTCTCTTTGTGCACCTTTCAGATACACGAATGATGAGGTCGCGGGTTGCATTTCCGGTGCTGTCTGGTTGAAGGAAGGAGGAAGGGGCAATACTTCGAATCGATCCCAAGAGCCCAAGAGAATCACAGTGAGAGCGTCACTGAGAGAGCGTCACGAGTCATCCTCCGACGTTTTTGTCTCCAGTTCTCGTTTGCACTTTTCTACTTACTTTTGCTGGTCAGCGAAGTCTGAAGTTCAAATATAAAAGGCTTGGCCTAGATGCAGAGCAGTTTTTTACAGCCTAAGCGTTCGTTATTGATCATCTTGTTAAACCACTCAATCTCCTTTCCAAATTTTTTCGTCTCTCTTATGTCAGTGAACCACATCCCGAATGATCGAAGATGGGATTGCACATACTACCTTACACAACTTCTATAGTAGAAACCCATGCACCTTTGGGTCATGCATGGAAAATGTGGGAGAGGCCTCTAAAAGAGCTCTAAAAAGGTCGCTGTTGCAGTTCAGCTGTTCAGCTTCCAGTTCACTAGGTTTGGCCTAGCTAGCAGACGCCAGGATCAAAACGCGAAGTGACAGCCACAAGCTCGGCAACAACAGCACCTCAAGAACAACACCTCAAGTTTTCGTTCGTCTCTTCGCTCACAATTTTATATTTGCTCACCTCTTCCAAAGCTACTAGCTTGTTATAAAAGCAGCAAACAACAGCAGAGTAACCATGGAACCTCTTCGTGCTTCTTTCCAACAACGCCGCTGGAGCTCGTTCAACAAATCGTTGAGCAACCTCTCCGTGAGCTTCTCCGTCGGGACGTTGAAGGATCTCTTGCTCAAAGTCATCCCCATTTGCCAAGGCGTCGACCGTCTTTGCTGCCAGCATGTGGTAGAGCTGATATGGCGACACAATGGTGCGGAAGTCCCCAATGACGAACTGGAAGAAACTGCTTGCTTTTTGGAAGGACTGCTTTCTCCTAGTTACGATCATCTGGATAAGACACTTCTCGTGCACATTCACTCTTGTATCGGTATGATCCGAGAACAACAAGGCGTTCTGGACAGAGCCATTCGATCACTGCAACTGGCACTGTGGCTGCAGCAAAAGGTAACCACTGATCAAGTGGCTCTTGCTGTTACGGAGCACCGATTAGGCTTGGTATATGCCAAGATGGGAGATTACAAGAAGGCCACATATCTCATTGAGAGAGCACTCAAGGCATACTCAGATGCCAAGCTAAAGACGGGGCACACCTGTATTGTAGAAGCAGAGGAATCCTTGTCCGGAATTCGAATAAATAAGTTGATGGAAGATATGGAGATGCAACGATCGGTATCAGAGCATCTTGCTGGTATTATGGAGGATGATGACCAACAGCAAGATCAAGAGCAACGGCAAGAGCCACAGCAACCAAAACCAAAGCGTACACCTAAAAAACACGTTCTGCGGGCAAGATCAGCGTAAATTATAGCCACACCATTGTATCACTAGAGCCACAAATAATCCACACACGCAAATTGACGTTCTCCATCATTTGGTACTCTAGAGTAGTAGTAGTAGATAGACCGCAGCTGTGTTGGGAAGGTACGGCACTGCTACACTCCTCTTCCCAACAGCATTGGCACGGGCTTTGTTGGAATTGGAGAAAAAAGGAGGGGTGAAAAGTTTGATTGAGACAGCCAGGCAGGTAAAGTCTACATGACCTGCTCGATGCCGCTAAACGGTTACGTTGCTCAAAGATCACCTGAACCGCTTGACCTAAGCTTCACCCCTACCTGACAGCAGAGATCCCCTTCAAAGGTGACCGAAGCATCAGTGAACTTCAAAGGTGAATTACTTGAGCTGCTAGGAGTGCGGCAAAGCTTGCCAAAGATAAGTTGACCTAGTCTCTAGCTGGCTGGCTAGGTTGAAGGCACAAGGAGTCAACTCCCATAATATTCGTAACGTCACCGTGGCCATGTCTCTTTTCGGGCAGCAGCCCACCAACCGCTCTACTGGCTCCAAGGCACAAGCAAGATACAATTGCCTAGAAGCTGCGATTACTTGCCTGCAAGGAAGTTGCTCGCTTTCATGTGGCTGTGCTGGACGAATGGGGATCACATCAGCAGCTCTGATGGCCTAGAAGCGACTACACAAGCCCCAGAGGAAGCCCAAGAGTACATGATGTATGTACATGCATGTACGTGCTGGCTGCGCGACCGGTGGCTTGGGGGTAGATAATTTTGGTGAATTGCTGTAACCAAACAGCAATCTGGCTGGCCTGTGATTGTCCGATGTTATCCTGCAGGCACTCGTCGCCAGTCGGCCAGTACCTCTTGGAGTAATCATGGGGACGACCGAACTGAATGTAGATCTTGCTATAGTAGGAACTTGTCTGCAGGCCTGCGAAGGTGTTGAACGGTGAGTCTTGCTTGGTGGCGGTCCTACAGTAGTCGGGGTGTCGCAATTGGATGCATCGCATTGGAGATTCTACATTGCATGTTCACCATACCCCATCACGCAGAGGATACCATAGTAGATACATACTGGCCACATGCTCACGGCGCGCGGTAGCAGCTGGCAGGTGTGGGCTGATTAAACTCCGTCCTGTCAAGCAAGGAATGAACCTGCAGTCGTCAAGCAAGGTAGGGTTCACGGTGGCGGGGGCATGGGCGACAGCTGTGCTTTGATGAAGAAACTTCCATGCTCTGGCCTCCCTTTTTACCCACTAGCTAGCTAGCTTCCTCATCGGTATATTTCAAGGCTTGTCATCTCCCACCCCGTCTCCACCTCATGTCCGTACCTGGGAAGTCCAGGATCCAACCAGCAACCAGCAACCCAACACTGCAGCCAGCTCCACAGCTCCAGTCCAGCTTGAACACGACACAACCCGCATGACATGCAGTACATGTACATATGTACATGTCATTGAGTCGCAGGCAGACGTAATTTCTCAGGAAATTTATTTACGGGTAAGAGAGCGACTCGACAGATAGAAGAGCAGCAGAAGTCAAGCAGAATGATCCAGTGTCCAAACAAGTGCACGTGATCAAGTACGTTTTTTGTCTGGGAGTTCTTCTTTGATGTAAGACTTCCTGAGAAAATGGACACAGATCTCCCAGGATCTGTACTCGTGCGTTCGAGGAGTACATGTATGTATGTAATCAGTTTTAGGTGCTGTAAGTTGTCTCGTCGTCTGCCTGGGTAGTCTTTTAAATAGAATGACCAAAATGAGAACGTTTAGTCATGGATTCTGCTTTAAGAAGTCACAAAGGTAATGACTGCATACACTATGTCTTTTCAACCTGTTCCGTATTGAAAAAGAAGCCTCAACCATTCCTGCCTGTCGCCACTTTGTAATCTCGGACTTGCTCCAAAACTGCAGAGCTCAAACCAGCCAACATGGCAACATTGCTATCACACATTTAGCTCACAAATTCATCGGCGAAGACAAAAAGCTCAACACTTCAGACTTTGTCCCCGTTCGTTTTAAAAAAAGCCCACTACCTCGTCGAACCAACCAGCATTCTAGCCTGCCAACCCAATCACTCAGACAAAATGAGAAAGACCAACAGCAGCAACAGCCTCCACCTCCTGGTGAAAGAGTTCAAACGCAACAGCTCTTCTACCTTTGACTTCAACTTTGGTGCCCAGGCTAATGATGGGTTTCAAACCGCCATCGAGCTGGATACAGATGCCTTTGAAACTTTTGTAACGGAAACTCTCTCAGATCACATCGATCAATCTTCAGATGCTGTGTTTAAGAATTTGCGAGATCAAGTCAAGCGTCTATACCAACATGCCTCTAGCCAGAGTCATCGGCTCTGCAAGCACCAGGCAAAACGAAGCTGTTCCCATTGCTCTAATTCCGAGCTGGCTGAGATCGCCTTGTCTCTCAAGAGTGTCATTGAAATGTCACCCAAGATGCCCGCCAGAGTGACAGCTGAGGTCCACTCGTTGATTGGTTTGCTTAACCAGAACCAAGGAAACTTGAAGGGCGCCATTCAGTCTTTCCTGAAGGCCCTCTGGATCCAATCCTCTTTGGTGGTGGGAGTTGCGGATGACGAAGACGATGATGATGACGACTATGACTTGCCCCTGCAAATGGCCCTCACAAGACACCGCCTTGGTTTTACCTATGGCAAGACCGGGGAATTTGCAGAGGCTGCGACAATCTTGGACAAGGCAGTCCGGGACTACCAAGCTATCCAAGCGGATACGGAGATGCACCGAAAGCTGTTGGAGCACGCCACGACAGAGCTGGGCAAGTTCCTGGAAGCTTCCGAAATTGAAGCCAATCTTCCGGGTATCTCCAGCAAAAAGGCCAACCGAAGACGGACCCGACGTGGTGCCGACTTGACCGATCGTACTCATGTACTACGTCGATCCAACACCGAAAAACCCGCGTCTCGCCCACCCTTGTCGGGATCTGACCTTCGCCGCTCGTCCACGGAAAAGCCCAGCTCGATTAGTCGGTCTTTCAACTCATTGGCAGCATTTGCTCGTGGACGATCCAACACTTCTTCCAGCGGGAGCGAAGGCAAAACCAATTTCCAGTGGTAAAAGGATGCACACGAAGATACTGTTACAAGTAGGTCATGTAAAATGCATAAGTAGGAAGAAACTGTATATTACTGGCATGTCTCTCTACAACTGGACCCTAGCTAGCTCTGAGCTTATCCACCTCGCGTAGAACATTGCCCTTCCTTTTGGGATTGATTCCGGTACCGTGCACGGTGACAATCTGCCTAGAATGCGGTACCAGCTACAGTAGATCTAAAGTAATTTCTACCGGCAGCCCGAGTGCCCAATCAGACGATACGATTCGATTCGATACTACTACGATGGCTGGTCTGGAAATGAATCCATAGACAGCTATGCTAAACGGTATGTGCTTCTACCCAACCAGAATGGAACTTCACGTAAGGGGACGTCACTCCTCTAGGACAACAACAAGAGCAAAACGTTCTCTCGTTTTACTACGCAGGGTATACCCGGACTACCACCAGAAAGTACTCTGTATGCGAGCTGCTGGAATTGGCAGCCACAGTCAACTTTCCCGGGCCAGCCACTCCCGACACTATAGTCTTGGTGTAGGCACCGCTTCCACCCCCATCGGGCTCCACGACTACGTCGCCGACCTTTTCTCCTGACTTTTCGATTGTAAATTGTACTCCGCCGCTGGACCTTGTGAGTACCGAGACGGTGGCCTTTTCATTGGCTGCCAGCTCCACGTCCCACGATTTGTTGCCGCGTGAGTTTATCATGAATCGTTCGACCACTTCTCGAAGGGTTCCTTTCTCGCGTAGTTGGTGCAAAATGTCTTGGCACGAAGGACCCTTACCACCGTAGTCCGCAATCAGCTGTGTTGAATCAATGTGTTCGGCAATACATTTCATGCCACTGCTCTCGTAGGCAAAAATGTCGACCTTTTGGATGGTTCGGGGATCCAAGAAAACCTTCAACACCAACCAAATGGCAGAGAAAAAGAAGGGAGCATTGAAGATGATCAGCTTTGAGAGTGCTTCGGGGAAACAATTGAGTACTTTGATGGCCTTTTTGAGAACTTCCATGACCTTTTCGGTGAACAAGGACCTGGAGATGCCTTTGAGATCAATGACAATAGTGACTTCTCCGAGGATTGTAGTGTTGGGGAACTCCTTTTGAGCTTGGACGGCCATCTCACGGAATCGATGGGTGAATGTGTTCCAGATGAAACTAATGAAGTTGTCAAGGTCAGTCAGACAATCGAGAAACTTCAAGTCGATGGATCCGGCCTTGAAGTATGCCACCATGGATCCATTTTTAGCAATACCCGACGGAATAAGGGGTAGTTCAGTGGGCACAATGGATGCGGGACAACCCATTGCTTGTTGAAGATCCGGATAAAAGTTGTGAGCTCGTGCTTCACCCCAAGTTTCAATGCTTCCACCTAGAAGTGTGACAGCATCTTGAACCACAAAATTGCGTGCTCTCATGATGCGACAAAGAGAAAAAGCTTCATCTTCAAAGTCGTCATAACAGTGGACAATCTCGTAGTAGGTTGGTTCCTCGGGTCGTTTGTCTCTAATGAACTTTCGGAATTCCAGACAGGCTTCCAATTCTTTGTCAGTCAGCGAACCGGGATATCCTGGATTAGCTTGAAACCCTGAAGAAGCGGGTTGTTGCTCCAGGCCTTGTCGTACTACTACCGAGTCGGTAACACCCTGCTTGGCGGCTGCATTATTTTTCATCAGGAGCTCTTGGGGTTTCGTGTCCAGAGAAAAATTGGAGCGCATAAGGCTGACATTGAGGGGACGGTACACCATGGACATGGTGAGAGATTGTCTGGCATCGTGGTAGATGGATTCCGCAATGGCTTTTTCTTTTTCCTCGTCACCCTCCGCAATTACGGGGGGCGAGGCGTCTCCTGGTACGCCTCTGCCAGCCCCATCCTCGGTGACAACATTTTCCTCGGTGGAACCACCACAACACAAAAAGGGCATCCTGAGGCCGTTTGTTTGTCTATCTGTCTGTCTTCACCTGATTCTAAAGACTGTTAGTAGTGCAAGTCAAGGGATATGCATAGAGTGCTGATGCCGATATCCCGCTCTCCCGTCCCAGTCACAACACCAGCCACCACCACTCTTCGCCGAAACAATTGTTCCTTTGGCCAACTTTGGCAAAAGAAGAATCCGGATCTTTTGCTGTCAGCTTCCGGGAATGCTGATTCATGGATTTCTGACTGTATCTTGAAAAGTATGTGTCAGAACTCTGTCAGAGTTCTACTAGAACCCTACCAGAACATCTTTTGACGCCCAGTGAGAAAGCCTGCTCTGTATGGTACCAGTTCCGTGCTTCCCACTTCCTATGTGTGCGTGCAGGACCTAGGTCCTGCTTGCCACGCAAGATTAGACCGTTTGCTCTCCTGCCTTCCTTGTTGCTGTGTGGGGATCGTTTTCCCTTGCCTCTTGCCCCATCTTGACTGTCCATCACCCATCTCAAACATATTACTTGCTTGCAAACTGGTTTCTAACCCAAGCTCGTTTCTGTCCAACATCAGGAGCAATCAAGCATAATCTGAACTACCACGTACTAGTACCAAAGAAGCAAACAACAAATTACCTCTCACAATCACAGAAACAACTAGGTCTACGCAACCAAAGACAACAACAAACGCAACCAAAACCAACAACGCAACAAAACACACACAACACCACCATGCCGCTTAGAAGAAGTCGAAGCAGCCCATCGCTCCTACAAGAGCTAAGTGGGTTGAAAGAGCTCAGTTTCAGAAGAATCAAAACCTCCACTCCCATATCTCCTGCCTTTCAGTCGACAGAGCTCACTGCAGAGGACTTGGAGAACTTTGTGTGTCAAGTGCTATCACAACATGTCGACGACGCCGATACCCCCAATTTCCGCAACTTGCAATACCACGTCAAGCAACTTGCCAAACATGCCGATCAACGGGAAGGGAAACTGTGCCACAAGTGCCGTGGATGCCCTTTTTGCTCGGCTACATTTTTGGGGGAGATTGTCTTGTCACTAAAAACCGTCATTGAAAGTACTCCTTCTCTATCTGCCAAAATGACAGCGCAAGTTCACTCCATGATTGGTCTGCTTAGACAACAATATGGAGACCTCAAGGCTGCCATTCGATCGTTCCTACGAGTACTGTGGATTCTGTCATCATTGACATTGGATCCTCTCGCAGTACAAGTAGAGGAAAACGAAGAATCAGTAGAAGAAAGGGAGACTTTGGTCTGGAAGATGGGTATCACCAGACACCGTCTGGGAATGGCCTATGGAAAGAGTGGAGACTTTGTGGACGCCATTACACTTCTGCAAACTGCAGTGAAAGACTATGAAACCTACGAAGCCAACAATGGCACTCCATCCCTGACGAGACCACAGAAAGGAATTGTGGAGCAAGCCAAAGCCGATCTTGACAGCTTTACAGAAGCCCGATTGTTGGAACAAGCCCTCAAGGAGCAAAAGTTGGCTACAATTCGACGACGACGTGCCTATATTCGTCGTTCCTCCACATCACTGTTGGGGAACAACAACAACAATACGGCAGCCACCACAGTCACCAGAAACCCTGTCATGCGAAGGTCTTCGGCGGCGTAGGTTGCAAAAGACTGCTGCCTCTTTTCTTTAAAAGATGTATATACCAGCTCCATAATTCATAAACTCTAGATATAGACACACCCAGCTACTTTTAAAGAAGATTACTAGCTAGGCCAGACGAGTCCGCTGCTGTTTTTACGGCGTCTGCTGCGGTGCGTGCACTGGCACTGACCAATGTCTTATATCCGCAATTAGCTTTGATTGAATGATTCGGTTCCATTCAATCATTTCGGTCGCCATGAATGTTGCTGACAACGTTCATTCACAAGACGAAACTGTTACGTGAAACTTCTCGGTAACCATCAAATTTGTTGCTGACAAGCAAGGAAGCAGGTACCGTTAGCTCTGAGCAAAACAAGCAACCTCTAGAACTAGCCATGAAAGATTCCACTTCCCGTGCTTGCTTGGTGACATGCAAAAGCCTTGATTCGCAGTTTTCGTCGCTGCTAGCTAGCTAGTACATCACAATGTTACCAAGTATGCATGGCAGCTACAACTCGGGGCCTATCTGAAACCGAGAGATGAGAAGCCTGTTAGCATGCTGGTAAGGCTGTGCAACCTAGATCATTGAGAGAGAGTGGTTAGTCCAGTCTAGTTGGTTCGAAACGAATGATGAATGATTGAGTCGAGTCGAGTCGCTCGGAGGGGCGTGCCTGCGTCAGAACAACTGCGACCGAGCCTCATACAGACCTCAGCGTGCATTTCTCTGCATACACTGATTGCGCTTTGTTGGCATATCTGTTGCAACGGAGCGACGGAGATACTTCGCACAAAGCACAAACAGTTAGGCCTTTGTTTGTGGTGGTGCAATTCAATTCACGTACTGGATAGTGATGGATGGCTGCTCGAGATGGCAGGTTTCCATGAGCAGAGATGATGATGCACTGGCTGACGGCTGACAGCCGGTACAGACTTCTTCTTCACAGGATGTCTTCGCTTCTTCTCACGCAATGTCCACTTCCCTGGTCTTCACCTCCCGTTCGGCCGCTTTGGCTGGATGTACAAGTTGGACAAGCGGAAGCAAGCAGGCTCCTAATCTTCGCGTTCTTCTTTGGTTCCCTGGTCTTAACCTCCCGCTTGTTTTGGGTGAACGGTACAGGCTGAACAAGTAAACCAAGGAGCTTCCATGTCGCTTCGGTTCGTACTGTAGTCGGTTTTCTGGCGGCCATTGCTGTGGGCCATCACGGCGTGGTATCTGTACCGTAGCAAGCTATTGCAAGAAGTCAGCTGTTTGCAGATTTCCTTTTTGAAACTTCTTGCTGGTTTGTCAATGGAGCAGCGTCTGACTTGTTGATTCACTGTAGGATAAGACCTAGCTACAGTGAATGCTCTAGCCAGCGAATACTTCACGCGTCAGGTTGACATAAAGTCAATTGGGTGGTGATCACTGGCTGGAATGCAAAAATCAAATCACCCACAGATGAACTGTTTTGTCTGCAACAAGTCTTCTGGCAGATTCTACAGAGCGAAATGTCACTACAAACAAAACCGTGCTAGCCAATACAGCAAAATTCCGCACTTAGGCAACAGCCCAGCTTGGAGAATGTGCACTCCGGGTTATTCCAAAAAATTCAAGAGTTTCACTTACTATAATGTTTTGTACCAAGCCCAATTTGTCTTGTTTCATCAAGAGAGATGGGCAAAGATTGAAGCCAACATTCCAAAGATTTGCCACAGTGGAATTGAAAAACCGGACATCCACAATCTGGTGCGACAATACCATTGTGCATTGACTAGTCTAGGGATCTAAGAGATGTAAAGTTTGTATTTCCAAATAAGTGAGCAGTTATTGATTATTTTCTAGAATAAGCCTGCAAATAGTAAAGCTGTAAAGCTGAATTGTAAAAAAGAGAGAGATCAGCCATCCTTTGGCCCAATCATCTGCGAAAGAGTCGACAGGAGCCGACGGCCTGGGCGTTTAAGGGTTTACACAGTGCGAGGGGCTCCTGCAGTCTGGAATTCCATCATGGCCAGATATGACAAGGACGTAGGACAGATGGTCCGACAATGGGGTTGGGTGGTTTCAGTCATATCAACACGACGTCGACATGCAATCTAAAAGCCGACAAGCATAATTGGTCCAATCATTAGGGCACACATCAATTCAATCAGATATATATCTGAGGGAACGCCGTCAGTATAACCCCGTATGCTGTCAAGTGGATACGGTAGGGAATTTGTTGTAGTCGCGAAGGAAATGAAGGAAAGGGCCAGCTGCCAAGAAGAGAGCGCGTTTGCTGTGAAGGGGAGTGAGAGATGCCCAGTATTATTACAGAAATACAGATGAGAGACTAACGTGGTGTTGCATTATTAAGAGAGGACTGCAGTCTGAGCACAAGAGTAGAGAGAGATATAGCAACACGCATCGCTATTGTGGGGTTGCAGGCATAGGAGACATCAAGTCTGTATTATACACAGGCCTTCCAACTATACACCACAGCGTGGTGTTCCAACGGGATAAAGGAGATTCAGTTGATGAATCCCTTTGGTCCATTGGCAAGTCTCTCTTGCAGTCCACCTTTACAACTCACACTCCGGATTCAGTTATCTGGCTTGCTCCCATTGAGATATTTCCAGAACTATCAGTGAAGGTCAAGTCAACAGAAATGACCATCCATGAGGGATGCCCCTGCATAAGTGTTTTGAGTAGACCACGTGCTTACCAGTGAAAGAGGAAGATTCCAAAATGGCAGCCGCAGTGTCCAGGAGAGGACTATATGTTGGCATCCTCACCTGTCCATTCAGAGAAATTTAGCGTTGATCCGCAACCTTAACAACCGGATACCTTTCCCTCCAGCTACCATCTTGTCTATGATGATTGGTTTGAAAACGGTTTTACTCTTCAGAGGATCAACCACTCCAGAATGGACCAACAATGTCATCTTCCACTCAACGCTGAGCATTGAGACCCTCTTTTGATGAGACGAACCAACTCACACATCATCCCTTGTGAGCAGCGAGTGCTTACTCCAGGTAAAAGTGCCATCAACCAGACACGATTCATCTTCAGAAGCTTCACAAGGGAGAAAGTTATGGCAGATGACAAGAGCAAAGACAAAAAGGATGATCTACATTTTCAAGCTCCGTCTCACGCACAGCCCACAGGTTTACACAGGGAGATTCCAGACCGTCTACCATTGATTCAGACCCAACAATTGCCTTCGTCTTGGACAAGGGACCCTCCCATCGTCTAGCACCCCACACAGATGTTCCCATCTGAGGCAATTCCTGTCGCTGCCCCACGTCTGGAATCCGCAGATAGGACAGCTCACAACAAGAAGACCTAGATCTGAACATGGACCCAAAACTGAAGACTTATGCACGCCCTACATCCATGCTCAGTTGTGCTTTAGCTATGACCTTTGGAATCACCTCAATTTCAGGGCACATGCTGCAATCTCAGGTAACTGGATATCACCCTTGACCACACCCAGTAATCGTTTCATCCTTGCATTCTTCAAATCCCACTGTCTCTCAAGGCTACAAATCTTCCAGAGACCCTGATCTCCCCACTCTGAAAATCTCTGATGTGGACCACATGCAGACCACTTTGGGCAGCAATGGACAAAGAAAATTGCCAGCCTTGAAGGCAAAGGATTGGCACATCGTAACAACGTTCTTCAATGCACTCACACGCTCAAGGCAGTTTCCGGGAACATGCGATACAACGAATCAAGAGGTTACCAGATGGACATGGAACAAGTTCAAATCTAGATGGGTCTGCAGAGTGTGACCTTCAGTCTATGAAGGACCGCATATTCTCCACTTGTCGGTTGGCCCACTGTTAGAGCGCGGTCTTCTTCTTGCAGCTGCGCATGGATGGGAATCGAGACAAGTTGATTTTACTCTGGCTTTCTGTCAGAGTCCTCAGCCTGCCGACAGCCATTTTACATGGAATTGCCTCAGTACTATCGCCCAAAGATTATGAAGGAAGGACGTTGTTTTAAACTTGACAAGTCTATCTATGGGAGACCGATTCACCAAAATTATTCTATGAGCATCTATTTCGTGGATGATCCAACTTGGTTTCGAAACCTCAGAGCAGACCCCTGTTTATTTATTCATAAGGAGCATCAACTCATGGTATTAAATTATTGTGATGACAAATCTGGCTCAGTCCGGACAATGACCTGATTGAGTCCTATGTTGGCAGCTCCAGAAGCTTGGTTATGATCTCACCATGGAAGACCAAGGGAGACATTTTGGATTCCTTGGTATTTATTTTGAAAGACAGGGAGACAATGTGGAATTGACTACAAAGGGGCTCATCAACAAGGTTATTAATACACTGGCATGTCTGAAGCCAGCTCTAAGCTTTCTCCTGCTGCCACCGATCCGCTCGCGCTGACAACTGGGTGCCCCATTTGAAGAAGAGTGGAGCTATCCAGCTGCAGTTGGATGCTGCTTTACATTGCATCCAACACTCGCCCAGACATCACTTTAGTGTACATCAGGTGCACGATTCAGCTCACAAACCCAGGCATTCCATGCTCAGCCATCAAACGAATCATTCGTACTTGATTGGCACAAGTGAAAAGGCATTTGTTTTAGCCCTAAGCTTGATCAAGGACTTGATTGTTGGTGGATGCTGACTTCGCGGGGTTTTATGGATATGAGGATGATCAGGATCCTGTTTCGGTCAAGTCTCGCACTGGTTTTGTTTTGACTTTGTTCGGGTGCCCTATCATTGGTCCAGCAAACTGCAGACTGACATTACTTTGAGCTCCACTGCTGCTGAGTATGTTGCCTTCAGCAGTCAATGAGGGAGCTGCTTCCTATGCGAGCCTGCTCAGGAAATTGGTAACAAACTAACATGCCCGTAATTACTGACAGTCCGTGCGCTCTACAGTGTTCGAAGACAACCAAGGTTGCCTGTCTCTTGTGAATGTTCCCAAGATGTCAGCCCGCAACAAGTATTTGGCATTAAAGTACCACTTCTTAGGTCAAATATCGGGGAGTCAAAGGCATCGTGGCCAAGTACATTCCGATCTGGAACAACG